ACTTGTCGAGGGGCTCCCAGGAGGTCACTGTGCTCTTTCCCTCCCCATCCCCAGGCCCCAAACCCAGCACAGATCCCCTTTTCCCGGAGAGCTTTCAGCATGTTAGCATTTTTTTCTTGCTGTTGTTGACAAAAATCCCAGCTGGTTGAGAAATATCTGTGCGGCAGCGCCAGCACAGTCCCACGGGTCAAATCCTGCCCCTGCATATCTCTGCTGGGAAGGGCAGCTCATCCTGGGCTAGCCTTCAGGGATGCTGCTGGGAGGGACCCGTTGCCTTGCAGGGCACCCTGGGTACGAGGCCGTGACAGAGCCACTGTGATGGGTGGATGGACGGACAGATACATGCCGGGGACTTGAGGTGAACCTGATATTTTACCATTTCTGGTTGGGCTCCACAGCAGAAGCAAAGTACTGGAAGTTCGTCAAGGGCTGAATTAAAGTTGCCTGGCAACCTCCATCCCAGCTCCTCTTCCCACATCTCGCAGGATTTCCCACCCAAGGTCTGCTGGCTTTGGGGAAGGGGGGCCCAAAATGCACCGCTTTCGCAGCCAGGCAGAGGCCAGGCTGGGCTCTCGCTGGATGGCTCTTTTCCCGTAATTCCTTGGCTTGTTCCCACGCCTGGGAGCTGGGAGCTCTCCCCGCCTTGTCCCCTGGGGCAGGCGCCTTTCCCCACTGCACCCCATGCCAGGAACGGGTCAGATTGTTTGAGCTGAACCTGAGGGCAACTTGTGCGGGTCCCTGGAGGGGTAAAACGGTGCTGGGCTAGTGGGGGCGCGGCTGGGGGAGCAAGTGGCAGGGGAGCCGAGGGGACTGGGGGGGATGACGTGCCAGGGCTTGGCCCTGATGAGTAAAGCTGAATTGGCTGCCCAGGGTTCGGAGCGCCTGAGCTGGGTCGCTGTTAAAGAAGTGTCAATGGTGTCTCCTGGTGCAATCCCTGCTGGGAGTTTGCGACACTGTAACCTGGAGGAGACCCGCTGGCCTCCACGGGGCAGGCAGCAGCCCTTGCTCATAGGAATGCACAGCACCAAGAGGGGCAAGCCCACAAGGAGGGGAGGAAGGTCTGGCAGCTGTTCCAGGAGCCTGCTTGGGCTTTACTAGAGCTTGGTGGAGCAACCACAAGCTGTCCACAGAAGAGCAGGATGGGGAAGTGTCCAGTCCTGCTCTGCAAATCTCTGTCCTGCCATCCAGGATGCATGCTGGGAGTGAGCCGGAGAAGGACTGCTCCCACATGGTGTTTCCATTCTTTCGCACAGTTCCTTTTAAATTAAAAAGCCATCATCATTTTCAGCTGTGCTGCTGAGGAAACAACCATGGGGGTCCCATAAGACCCCAGCTGAGGTCCCTTCATATTTGCTAGCCCTTCTGACAGTGCAGATTCCTTGCACTGCAGCTTGCAGCTGGCTCTTGCTCCCTGGTTTTGCTGCCTTGTGGCTTTGAGGACCACGGGACAGCAGGAGGGGGCCACCAGTGGCCAGCAGCAGCTCCCGGTGCAGCGGCCATTGAGGGGTGCGGCAGCTTTGTCTGGTTTCTTTGACTGGATCCAGGTTGGCAAGACCTGCCACCAGGAAATTCACTCATCAAAAGCTTTTTGTGCCTCCAGAGATGCTGGCTGTGGGGATTTTAAGGAGGTGCCGACTGGGCCGGTTCATTTGGGTGTGCTGTGCCGGCTGGCTGCCGGTGGGAGGCTGAGGCTGGCACAGTCATGCTTGCACAGCTTCTGTTGTGACCCAGTAAACCCAGTCAGACCTGACCAGGGCTCACTCGGCTCGCTCCCCTGCGCACTCCCACAAGCCTCCGCCGCCCTGCTGCTTTCCTGGTGTTCCCCGGGGACCAGCAAACCCGTCCTGACGGTGGAAGCCGGTGCCTGGGCTGGGCTCAGTCAGCTCTGTGCTGGGAGCTGTGGCTGCATCCCACTGGCGCAGTGATAGCCAGCGGTATGAGTGTAGGCTTTGGCCCCCGTGGATGTTGCACGTTGCAATTAGAGAGGCTGGTTCCTGGTTTTGCCCTGCTCTCGGGGTAGCTATAAGTCCTGAAGCCGGATCCTGCCTCCACCACCCTTCTTCAGCATTACCAGCCGGGGCAGGAGCTGGGATGGGATTTCGGGTCCTATGTTGGCTCCCCCTGTGCTAGGAAGTAGGTGAGGTGCCGAGGGGCTTGAGAGCGCACACCTGGGGATGGGATTGGCTTTTCTGGGCAGTTTTTCACTTAAACCCTAGATCTCATTGAACTGCTGCTGCTTTTTGGCCTCTTCTTCTCCTTTTGTGTCCCTCCCCCAGAGAAAACTCTCTGCAGTGTTTCCCCTCGTGGCTTTTCCCCATTTCCCATGGAAGTGCTGGGCTTGAGCAATCCAGCCACCCCCAGTTCGACTGGTGAGTCCTACAGACAGGACCTCTGCCTCCCACTCTGGCTCCTGGCCCTTGCCTTTGCCCAGAGCTTGAGCTTCCACCCTGCCAAGGGGGAGATGATGGGTTTGGGGATGTTTGGTGCAGCTGCAGCCCGAGGTGACAATCTGAGGGGGGGGCCACAGATGGTTTCAGTTCCTTCTTGCTCTTTCTCCCCCACCCTAGAAATGAAGAATAAAACATAATTAAAAGAAAACAGAGAAGCTCAGAGCAGCCCTTCCCTTTGAGTCAAATATTAACTGGCTCTTACAGCTAACTGATTAAATGTCCTTTAGGACAAAGTTACATCTGATCTTGGGCAAAGGAGCCTTTGGAAATGGGTGTAGCTGCTCCCCTGCAAAAAGTGGAGGAGCCCAGCCCCAGCAGCAGCGGAGGCTGCTCCCTCCCTGCCCCTGCCTGGCTAGGAACCCTGCACAGCCTCACAGCTTCATTTATTGTTTTTATTTTTTCCCCTATGCTGGCTCAGTGCTCACACTGGTTAAATGTTAGCTGGGTCTGGCTCTCGGTGCGATTCTTGCTCTGCAATAAGTACCATCCCTGCCTCCCTTCCTGGCCATGCTCCTGCCTCCAATCCCCATCGCACCCAGAGCTGGACAGCAGGCAAAGTTCAGGGCTTGTTTGTTCAGGGTAGATAAGGTGAGGATGCCTGGCAGCATGCAGGCAGTTCGCAGGGCTGTTACTCATTTATTAGAAATTGTTGTTTGCCTTGTTGTAAGAAGGTTTCTCCTCCCCTCTGCTCTTCTAGCCCAGGTGCACGGCAGTTCTTGTAACTTGGGCATGATTCCAGGCTCGTGTCCTGGCACAGTGGCCTGGGGAAGGGTCCCCACAGCTGCTGGGTTGGCCCAGGTCCTGCTGACAGGGTGGAGAGGTGTCAGCGTGGGGCTGGCTGGAGCACTTTGGGGTGTTTTGGTGCTCTGGATGTGACCCTACCACTTGCTTTGCCCAAAAAGCTTGGAGTGTTTGGTTTGTGCCAGACATGGTGCCACCAAAGCGACTTGTTTCTCGTTGACCTCCACCACTACTCACCCGCCTTGCATCCCCCTGCCAGGCCCATTGCTCATGGGCAGACCCTTGGTCTGGACAGGGCTTGTCCTGGAAACTGCTGTTGCTGTCCTCTGCTCCCTGGGGAGCTCAGCCCCGCAGGCAGCATGCTGCCTGCTCCCAGGACTGGGTGCTGTACAGGTGCTCTGTGCTGGGCCAATGCATGGGTGGCAACAAGGCAGGAGGGAGCGGGTGGAACATGTCCCTGCTGTCCAGTTCCTGGCATGTTCCAGGGCAGCAGCCAGCGCAGGTGTGAGGTCTGGGTCTGAACCCACCCTCCAAAGGAAACTGGTTTAATGCAGGTTCCAGGACTATGGCTGGATCCCACATCCAGCCCCTCACTTCTCCTTTTCAGCCCCAAAGCCCTTTTCACTTCTGTTTCACTTTGGTTTTACCTCCCCTCTGCCTGAGATCCGGCAAGGTATTTGCTTGAGGGAAACTGTCTGCAGCAAGCGTGTTTGAACAGCTTCTCTACAGGATAGGTATTTGGTTTATATATATAAAAACCCTCCAACCCTAAGCAAGCTTATAGGTGCTGGTCACTTTATGGGGAGGTCTCCTGCTCAGAGATACCTGATTGTCTCCTTCCTCCTTAGTATCTGCAAAATGCACCCGTGGCTTTTCTTGAAGCAGCTGGGAGAGGCAGGGGGTTTATTTGGGAGGGGTTGGATGCATGAAAGCGAGAGCCAAGGTAGACTCTGAGCTTCAAGACAGCTTGGGATGAAAGAGAAACTAAAATGTCATGGAAAAACACTGAGGGGAAAACTCTCTTGAAAAGACCTGATGAAGATGCCAGGCAGCTCTTGGGTTTTCCTTTGCCCTGCATCGCTGCATGCCTGCAGCATCCTTCCTTGCACCTCTGTCCTCGGGAGTCTCATCATTTCAGGAGGAGCAAAACTTTGGGGACAAGCATCTTGCGCAGCAGGAGATGGCCAGCTGTGCTTTCAGGAAGGAGCAGAGCCCTTGTGCTCCCTGGGAGCCCCCCCCACTGCCTGTCTTGCTGCAGCCGCTCTGAGGAGTGGGGCTTGGGGTACCCCAATGTGCCAAGAAACCTGCAGAGAGGCTTTGCCCCACGAGTTGCTCTCTTTTTTGGGAATAAATGTGCCTGCTTTTCAGGTGTGAAAATGCAATGGGGAATCAGCTGTCTCTGCCACAGCATATCCTTCGGTCAGGGGGAGCTGCAGGAGATGGCAGGGGGCAAAGGAGGGAGGAGTCCAGACTTGGAGGAAAATGAGCCTCCAAGCAACTGAACCAAGCTCCCAGCAAGCAACTGCTGCTGTTGTGATGGAGCAGATGCTGAGCCAGGGGAATGCTGTGGAGGGTCGCGCCACTCAAACCCTCCTCCCTGCCCTGTGCTGGCTGCAGGTTTGGCACCTTGTGCCATGCCTGTTTCTCATTCATAAAACAAGGATTTGCTTTACCTTAAAGCTGTCCCGGGGCTGAGGCCATACCCGGTCAAGCGTCTGTGCATGTGCACAGCTGGCTCCTTCTCAAGTCCACTTGCTGGTGAGGTGCTGGCAACAGCAGGAGCATCTGACCCGGTGCTTTGTGTTTCAGGAGGGTTTGGCAGCTGGCCCTGTCTCGGGGAGCTGGGGAGCCCGTCCCAAGGATCCGCTGTGCCAGCCTGGCGGCAGCAGGCTGAACAGCTGCCCCCGCCGGGGAAACGGGAAAATGAGCAGAGGCATAGCCCATCTCCTGATGGCTCTCTTCATGGTGGCGGCAATGGGCTACCCGTCACAGCGGTCTGCCACTGACCTGGATGCCACCCCCAGGACAACGGTCACCTTTGATGGTAAGGGGTGCGGGTCATGGTGGTCGTGGTGAGGTTTGGGATCTTGCTGGCACTGGGTTTGGTGCATCGTAACTGTGTCCAGCTTTTGCCAGCTCCCCAGAATGGGGTGCTCAGCATGGCAGAGTGGCTACAGTGGCTACAGGTTCCTTGGGCTCCAAAAGTCAAGAGCCCACATGTCTGTCTGGTATTGGGTGCCTGGAGTCAATGTGCCCCAAGGGATAGAGCAGGGCAAAGGCCCCCAAAAGCCAGGGGGGAGACAAGGGTGTCCAGGGACCTAGCCCTGGCCAGCCCCCAGCCCTGCCCAGCAGCCCTTGGAGGCTATCCTGAGTCAGGCATCATCCCTGGGCTGTGCTCTAATGGCCCAGATAGTCAGCAGGAAGCTTTCTTCCATGATTTTCTGTAATTGCCACCGGGTTCTTGTCCTTCAGCCTTTGTGGTGTCAGCCAGCCCCACAATGTCATCGTGCCTTAGGCATCCACACAACTTCATTGACCTTGTTAGTGAAGCCCAGCTCGGTGGTCAATGGCAGGAGAGGGTTTAATTTAAAGTTGGGGTGCCCTTTTCTCCCCAGGTAATGACTCCTTTCAGGGGGGTCATTCCCTCCCCAGCTGCCTCTGTGGTCCCAAACCCCATGGGACTTTCTCCTCCTGCAGCAGGAGTGTCCAGGCTTGGCTTGGGGTCCCTCTGGCCAGGGCTGAGTCCCACCTCCCACCTCTCAGCACCCTAAATCAAATGGTTTCTCTAGCTCATTGGACAGGGAGTGTCCAGCCTCGCTGTGGGAGCCCTCCCCTTGCACGGCAGTTTTGGTTCAGACTTTTTTGCATCCTTCCTTTTGGGCTGACTGGGTTTGGTTCAGAGCCAGTGTCACTGCCGGCATGTTTTTGCTTCCTCTAGCAGTTCCCCAAACAGCGTGGCAGATCTGTGCTGGGCATGGACATCACAGCTCCCACCCCTGAGCTGCCATTTTAATTAGTGGGGAGAAATTTACCCTGTGAGCCTGAGCCCAGTTAGTGCCTTTTGCCTCCTACCAAACCTCCCCTCTTCCTTTCTTCCTTCTGTAACTGCTTCACCTGGCTCCATCTGCCCAATAACCTCGGTGGATGCCTTCTCACCTGCTCCCAGCTCCATCCTCTGTCTTTTCCTGTTGTCTTGTGCCTTGCCTGCCCTGGGGTCTTCCCTCAGCCCCCTGTTCCCTTTGCAGAGCTGTCAGGCATCCAGCGCTTCAGTGGACACACCCTCAACTACAGCACCTTGCTGCTGGAGGATGACCAGGGCATCCTCTACGTGGGCGCCAGGGGAGCCATCTTTGCCCTCAACTCCAGTGATGTGGCTGACGGCTCCCACCGCATGGTGAGTCTGGCCTCTGCCTGCCACCAGCTGCTTGTCCCCTCCTGTCTTACGCTGCCCAGTCCTTGCCCGAATTGTGGCCACCTTATCCCTGCTCATCCTCCCACTTGCCATCCTAGGCCTTGCCTGGAGGTTCTGTCCCTAGGTCCCCTGTGGACACCTGGTCCTTCTCCCCAGCCAGGCAGTGTGCGGACAGTGGTGGGAGATGTCCCTAGGCTCAGAGCTGCGTGCTTCAGGGATACCCTGGCAAGATGAGGGGCAGGGGGGAAGTGTACCCCTTTACTCCCCCTGGGAAGGACACCCCAAAATCCCCCAGGCTCCTTTGGGTGCTCTGGGGTTTCTGCCCATAGGTTGGGGTGTGGGACCACTCTCGCCTGGGGTTGGGAGGATGCGGACAGGATGCTGTCTTGTGCTATGAGCAGCCATCCCCTCTCTAAATAAATTTAAAGAGGGTTTTAGCATCTCTGATGGGTCTGGCAGAGGCTGGAGCCTGCAGTGACGGGGGGATCACGCAATGGGGGGTCACACAGTGGCAGTCCCTCTTCCCCTTGCAGATCCACTGGGAAGCCTCCCCGGAGAAGCAGATGGACTGCCTGCAGAAGGGCAAAAACAACAAGGTAGAGCCAGTGGGTGGGTGCTGGGTGGTGGTGGTGGGGGGGTGGGCCACCGCTGCTTTCCCCAGGTGGTGATGCCTGTCCTCCCCCTCCACAGACCGAGTGCTTCAACCATGTGCGGTTTCTGCAGAGGCTGAACAGCACCCACCTCTACGCCTGCGGGACCTACGCCTTCCACCCGCTCTGTGCTGCCATCGTGAGTACCGCTCGGCCTCGTGGCTGTCACCTGTCCCCTGCCACCTTGGGGTGATGCAGCCCTTGTACTCTCCCACCATCTCCACCCCAGCCCCGCTCTCTTTCTGCCCCCATCGCAGTCCCTCCCTGGCTCGGGGGGGAAGGCAAGTGACCCCCAGGCTGGGGTGGGTTGGTGTAGGGACGCAGCCACTATGACGCAGGTGACCAAAGTCTCTACCCCGGTGCTGCGGTTGGACTCTGACCCCATAGCAAGGCGGCTGGGGGAGGGATTGGTGCCACGGGAGGGACACGTGGGCTCAGTGGGGCCAGTGGGGTGGGATGTGCCAGCCCTGGAGCTGGTCCCAGTCCCTGCTGTGGCAGGGTCCCTTCCCAAAGCAGGGTCTGCAGACTGGTTTGTGGCTGGTGGCAAGCGTGCATGGGGAGGGTGATGGTGGCAGGGAGGGTGACAGTAGCGGGGCTGACTCAGCGTCCCCACCCCAAGGATTTCCAGGGCCAGGCTGGGGGGTCCCTGCGTGGCTGTGACTCACGGCAGAGTGGATGGGGGCAGCCACGTTCCCAGCAGCAGGACTTTCACCCCTGTGTGGTGGCTCCTCAGTGACTTGGCTGCCCTTTGCCCACCTTGCTCCCTGAACTGGGGAGGCAAAGGGGCCTGGGGCTGTGTCCCCAGTGTGGCTGGGGAGCCCTGGAGGGGCTGTGCCCATTCCCACGGCCATGCCGCTGGTCCGGTTTGGCCATTGCACACCCTGGGAGAGAGGCGGAGGAGCTGCCAAGCTGGAAGGGCCTCGTCATTATTTGACACGCTTTGAACTGTAAACCCCAAAGAAAATAACTCTTGCCATGATGGGGACATTACCTGGGGGGACCCAGCCTGGCTGGGCAGTGTCTGCTGGCCAGGCACAGCCCAGGAGTATCACCTGCACAGGCTGGCTCCTGCCCAGTGCCCACATGATGCCAAAGTGGGATGCTGGGGCTCCCATTCCCCCGAGCCCTCTCCCCACTCTTGGCTGGGAGCTCTGCCTGTCCATGTGGTTTCTGACCAGCTGGAGGGTGCCGGGGGGGGGAGTTGTATTGCCTGGACAAGGGATCAGCCGTGGGCATTGCTTTGTCCGGGGTAGCAGCCTCTGCAGAGCCTGGAACTGGCAGGCAAGGCTGGTCTGTTCCCTCTTGTCTAACCCAGTCCCCGGTCCTATCTCAAGGATGCTGACAGGTTCATGTTGCCATCTCATTTTGAGGAAGGCAAGGAGAAGTGCCCATATGACCCTGCCCGTGGCTACACCGGCCTCATTGTAGGTAAGTGGCACCTTTCCTAGGGCTAGCAGGGACAGACAGGATGCCACCGACCTTGACCCCATCCTCAGTGCCCCCATGAGGTGTCCCTGGGTAGGCTCTGCGTGCAGGGGCCTTAGCAAGCCAGGACTTGGGTCTTCTTCCTCCTCTTCCTTCTCTGCCTGGGGCACGGGGATGCTGGTGGCTCTTTGGGTTGTCCCTGAGGGACAAGCTGATGGGTGCCTGCCTTGCCCAGATGGTGGCTTGTACACGGCCACGCGCTACGAGTTTCGGAGCCTCCCCGACATCCGGAGGAACCTGCACCAGCGGCCGCTGAAGACAGAGGAGTCCCCACTGCACTGGCTGAATGGTGAGACATCCCCGTCCCCCACAGGACCGGCGTCACGGGCCATGGGGCACCATACATCGCCTCAGGGAGCGTGGAATAGGGGTAGGGGGTGGTCCTGGGGTCCTGTGTGGTTTGCCATGAGAGGAAACTGAGGCAGGGAGGAATCCCCCATCCCGTGGTGGGTCCCAAATCTTCACATCTTGCTCCATGTCCCCCAGATGCTGAGTTTGTGGCCTCCGTGCTGGTCCAGGAGAGCAAGGACAGCCCTGTTGGTGATGATGACAAAATCTACTACTTCTTCACGGAGCGGGCGGGTGAGGAGACCACATCCTTCTTCGACAAGAGCCAGGTGGCCCGAGTGGCCCGTGTAGCCCGTGTCTGCAAGGTAGGCACATCTCTAGCCATGGGGAGCCAAGCATACTCCTCCTGGTGCAGGGGGCTGTGTCTGCACCTTGGAGGAAACTGAGGTGTGGGCAGAGGGGAACCCACCAGCCTGTGCAGAAATATTCTCTGCACCCTCCCAGAGCGACGTGGGGGGGAAAAAGATCCTGCAGCGCAAGTGGACATCATTCATGAAGGCACGCCTTGTCTGCTACATCCCCTACTACGAGGTGCTGCGCAGCGTCTGCAGCCTGGATGGGGGCGGCTGGGCCAGCACCGTCTTCTACGCTGCCTTCACACTCTCGGCACAGTGGTGAGTGGGGCAGCAGCCAAAGCGACTGGGGCTAAAAGTCTGTGGCACAGGGGGGACTGGAGATGCTTGAGGGGATGCACGGGCAAGCTCTGAGCTCCTGTGGGTGCGTCAGTGGGGAGCACCCATGTGTCTGCCTGGGCTCAGGTGAGGCTCTGCCCCCAGGAGGACCATGGAAGCCTCAGCTGTGTGCCGCTACAGCATCTCGGCGGTGCAGCATGCCTTTGAGGGCCCCTACATGGAGTACCAGGATTCGGCTCGCAAGTGGTCCCGCTATGACGGTGCAGTGCCTGAGCCCCGGCCCGGCTCCGTGAGTGCCGGGGGGTGCAGAGCAGGTGGGGCGTGGGGTGGCCACATCCCCCCCTGACATCCATCTCCCCTGGGCAGTGCATCACGGACCTCTCCCGCAGAAAGGGCTACAACTCCTCACAGGACCTGCCCAACAGCGTCCTGGACTTTGTCAAGCTGCACCCACTCATGTTCGAGGAAGTGAAGCCGGCTGGTGGGGAGCCGCTGCTGGTGAAGAAGAGCGTGGCGTACAGCCGGCTGGCTGTGGACAGGGTGCAGGCCCTCGACGGCCGCTCCTATGATGTGCTTTTCATGGGGACAGGTGAGCATGGGATGAGTTTGCCAGGTCTCTGCTGGGCAGGGGGGACACCCCACACTCCTTTCTGAGCCCCTGTTCTACACTCCAGGTGACGGCTGGATCCACAAGGCCGTGGTGGTGGGCTCTGGCCTCCACATCGTGGAGGAGGTGCAAGTGTTCAGGGACCCACAGCCTGTGGAGAGCCTGGTGATCTCCCATGCCCAGGTGAGGGGTGGAAGAAGTGGGGGCACACCACACACAGGGCATGTTTGTGTTGAGAAGCTGCCATTGGGCTGTTTGGGGAGGGACACGACTCCTGGGTCACCCCAGCTCAGGATACGTGCCAGACCCCAGCAGGGCAGCCTGGGGAAAGGGACCAGCCTGACCTCCACCTCCTTGCCCGGTGCCAGCTGCAGCCATTAGCACTGACTGGAGCTGGGGGCCCTTTGCCGTGCACCCCCACCAAGAGAGAGCTGTGCTGTGGGGCTGGGGGGAGCGTGGGGAATTTCTGGGCACCGTGGGGCACCCCACAGCCCAGCCACACCATGCCAGGGCAGTGCTGAGCCAGCCCTTTTCCCCCAGAGGAGCCTGTACGTGGGGGCAGCCAGTGGGATCCTGCAGGTGCCCCTGGCCTCCTGCGCCAGGTACGCTTCCTGCTACGACTGCATCCTCGCCCGCGACCCCTACTGCGCCTGGGACGGCAGGGCCTGCCGTGCCACCGCTGCCGCGGACAGGTAGGGACAGGCAGGGAGCCTGTGAGCCTTCCACCTGCTCCATCCCGTGCTGCCACACATCACCCCCTGGCATGGTCACCCCAGTGCAACCCCCAAGGGTCTGGCATCTGGCAGCAGGTCTGCCGGTGGCTGTGACCCTGTAAGGGTGGGTTCAGCCGGGGTTGTGTGGCTGAAGCCCCCTGTGTCTTGCAGCACAGGGCTGGTGCAGGACATTCAGAGTGGCAACGAGGGATGCCGGAGCAGCTCTGGGCGGGGTGAGTCTGCACCCCACCTTGGCACCCCGTGGGACGCCAGCGTCCCTTAGGGTGGCTAGGATGGGTGCAAGGTGGTGCATATCCCTGCAGGCTCCCTGCCATGGAAGAACCGGACGGTGCTTCAAGGGGACGACGTGCTGCTGCCCTGTGACCAGCGCTCCAACCTGGCACGAGCCGTGTGGCTGCTGAATGGCAGCGAGGCGCCAGGCACGGGGCAGGACCGGCTGCGTGTCGGGGTGGACGGGCTGCTGGTGACGGACACGCTGCCCCGGCACAGCGGCGAGTACCGCTGCTACGGGGAGGAGCGGGGTCTCCGGACACTGCTGGCTGCCTACAGCCTCACCGTGCTACCTGAGCTGCCCCGCAGCCCCACGGATGCTGCGCGGCCCCACGCTGCCAGCCAGGCAGCCGGCGACATGAAGGTGGCTTATGTCTCTGCCATCGTCGCCTTGGTGGTGCTATGCGCCGTGCTCAGCACCATCCTCCTCTATGTGTCCTGCCTGGAGAGGCGCAAGGGCAAGTATGTGCTGGGAGAGCCACGGCCAGCCAGTGTGGAGCTACAGACCGTCTCAGCCAACTGCCTGCGCAAGGGCCGCCGGGAGGAGGAGGAGGAGGAGGAGGAAGAGCTCGCCTACCCTGATGGCTGCCTGCGGATCATCCCCGGCGAGGCACCCACGGCTGCCACCTCCCCGGTCAAGGAGCTGCCGGCTGCCGTGTCCCCGCTGCCACCGCCACCACCGCTGCCGGCCGAGCTCACCAACGGCGTGGGGGCTCTGCCCAGCGTCCTCCGCAAGATGAACGGCAACAGCTACATGCTGCTGCAGCAGCAGGAGGAGCCGCTGGCCTCACCGCTCTACAGCGCGTCCTTCACCGAGGAGCTCAGCAAGATCCTGGAGAAGCGGAAACACACGCAGCTGGTGGAGAAGCTGGATGAGAGCTCCGTGTAGGGGCCAGGGGAGGGGGTCCTGCCAG